GAACACCTATAGAGCATATGGGGCTTTCAAATTATACATAACACATAGACGGTCTACCATGGTTTGTATTTGTATACCATAAAATGACCTTTCAAATCAGAATCTACAAACACAATCAAATGTCCTTTGTCAGATCATCGAAGCAGAACAATATCCTCCCAGATCAGTCTCCAGCCTCACGGCATGTACAACCAATTCCATCCAATCCCACCAGTCATAATGGGTCTTTTGTGGACGTAAAAGTCAGAGCTATTTGACAAGTTTAGTCTGAACCATCACCCATAGCACAGCGAAAGAGAATATACGTTTCATGTGTCTGATGCCTCAAGTGTTCTCGTCATTAATACCAACCTAACATAATACCAACTTTTCCAATTCGATTCAGTGTTACCATGTATACGATTGCAAAAGACATATTGTCGCTGGCGATGGTTAGGACAAATTCGAGAGACACCATTTAATAAAATAAAATGTCCATTTAAACATATAAATAGTCATAGTCATATTGATGGAAACTAAAGGAGACTGCGATGTGTCCTATTACTTCATCATGGCAGCCACATCCCCACTAGACACATTGACAAGGGAGTATATGAGTATTCATACAACAAACCGTTTAGGCTGGGTTAGCCTATCATTGGAACAGTAACTGGTGAAATCGATCTTGATATAATGATGTAGTGCTGTAATCAATAGTAAAACTGACTGTGTCCGCCCCTAGCCTATCGAATCTTTCCGATATGGTTTGAATATGGAATCCGATTCAATACGTCCCATGTGCCCATAGTAATGGTAATGACGAACAGACATAAAGGAGGAATAACGCTAAATCTATTGCCCGGTTACTCGATTGAGTGATTTAACGTCAAATCGGCAATATTGCAGCCATATCGTGACGAGAACAGTTGATATCAATATTCAAATCAATAAATGTATAACGTAAAAACCTGTCATCGGAGGACAGTGAAAATACTAGAATATTGCAGCTCTTGATTTAAAACTAGTACGCTATCATAAAAATATATCACGCGAGACCACAGTACAATATAAGAACGGGCTATATAGATCACCAGCAACTGAAGGCTGATCAGCATACTAAGTATCATGGGGACTTACAGTATCTTTGCTACCTGCATAGACCCTAGTTGGATTTACATCATCCCTTCAGCAACCGGCGATTGTAGTCGATCTTAGCCACAATTAAAATCACAAAAATTCTACGCTTAAAATCCTGTTTGAAATTTACTTTGAGAGTTTTGGGACTTACATACCCTCTCGGGAGGACAATAATTCTACAATACTTTAACCCCCTTGAATGTACAGCCACTAACAATCTGAGTTATTAATTTAACCTTCCAATCATAAAATATGTATCTATTTACAAATCAGTTAACAAATCTAATTCCTTTAAAAATGCAATAATTAATTGAGAACTTGTATTATTAAAAAGATCCTTCATAGTTCCTTGTTACTCGATGAACTTCAGATCGTTAAGGGACATAAGACGTCGTTATAGGACTTCATAGTAATGTTCATCATTCGTTTATCTCACAGAATGTCCAACCTAACAGATTTATATGTAGATTCATACATCTCATTTGTCTATATGGAAGAGTAGTCCGCTCTACAATAGATTAGAATTCCTTTCACCGAAACAAAAACAATGCTAGTTTAAGCCTGAACATAGATTTAAAGCAGTAGCCAGAAAAGTATATGTCAGAAACCGATTTATTAATGTCTTTCGACTTAAATTCAATATCCTATTTAGAGTTTAATGTTAGATTCTTTGCCATATTGTAAAACACTCATGATCACCACAGGGGAGTTAGATAAATCATGAAATTTCTGTTTAAAATTTGTACATAATCCAAAGTAAAGGGAGAAGAAAGTACCCATATTGGCTCCAGGGTTTAGGGAACACGGACAGGGGAAAATCTGGACAAGTGAAAAGAACCCGCACAGAAAAATGCAACCCAGATAAATCACGAAAACACAAATAAATCACCTTTACTGAATTTGCCTTTTTGCCAAGAATGTGTGCACGCTAGAAATGGCATGAATATGTGGGACACTACTGACTCCAAATAATCCATCAAGAAGTGTACAATGGGATTAAGGCAGCTCCATTGTTGGAGTGGTTTCTGCTGAAGTCAGGTTCCAAGGATTGTGAATGTATTATATCATTATTTAAGAGCACTATCAAAGTGCAACGGCCTAATCCAGGTCACGGTTGCCAAATATTGCAATATCGGAACACAAATCTGAAACAAGTTTCATCTCATGATAGGAAGATATCCATAGCTTAGTTTGGGGTATTGTCTGCACTGACAATAGGATTTCAAAACTCTTGCATAATTAATTAACAATTTCTGTTGAGAAATAAATCTAAAGTTGGAGCTTCACTGTTCCTCTGCTTTCTGTGGCAATGTTTACGGCGACAATAGCGACGACGGTTCGCGCTGGGCAGCAGGTGTGCAAATGAGCATTATTCTCCATCTTGGCACTAAAACCGATATATATATAACAGAGATTATAGTTCATCTTATTGTTGAGTGTCAAGTTTCTGAAATCAAATGCATGAAAAGTTATAAAATATATCGTTATTATGACCGTTTGTTTCCATGGAACCTAGTGCGCTCTGTCATGTCTCAGAAAGGAAGCATGCCATTTCTAATTTGCTCTATCGACAGCTCACCAAGTTTGAATAATATGATTGTACTTTGGAAAATAATTGCAAAATCACCTTTTGCAACTATTTGCTAACCTCAGGAAGTAATTTTGTTATCAATCTTATTAGGATTTAGGATACACAGACGATCTATCTAAGTTGCGTATCAAATTTCACATGCTTTACATACAACGTCCACATTCAACAGAAATCTTGGCAAAAGGTATAATTGTCTTGATTGTGATATTCCGACTGCATCATGGCCACGTGTATATACATCGCTGTCAAACAGAAATGATATATGTTGTTTGCAAGAAGGTAAAGATGTCCTCGAATGCGGCTCTTGCCAGAAACACCTGCAAAGGCAAATCAGTTCTTCAATAGAATTGGCACGCTCACACATGGTACAAGTCAAAATAGCATATTGTATAATTTTGTCACTGAATTTGGCATTTTGAGAATCATCCACATATCTGACATTAACCTTTTGAAAGCTTTTCTGCTTGAGTATTATGAAAAGGGGGGTCACACAATGGCATGGGATAAATACTCATTACCTCCACTGATGAAAACAACATTCAGTACCTCAGCACTATAACTGTAGTTTTACAACAACGCGCATCTTGAGACATCCGTAACGTGCTGTGATGTCCAGTTGTTAACTGACCTTTATGTATCCACTTTCATACTCTTAACAGCCTCAATGATCCATGGACAAATAATTCACGTGAATCAGTGATAAACCACGTTTCCCTAACCTTGAGTAAATACTGCAGTTGTCAGCTTGCGTTACCCAGGAATGCTTCAATTTCAGGATAATACAAGAAAAGAGAATCATTACGAAATGGAACGATCGCATGTTCCCACACAACAACGTCATAGAACATATTACATTTGCAAGGAACGTCCACCGAGATAAGGACTAAAGTATTACGTTAAGGGATTTTCTATGATATTTTCTGTTATTGGTTACCTAACTTCCTGTAATAAACCGAAAACACGATGCCACCATTCTTTTTATAAACAATAACATTTCACATTAGTGAAACATCTCTCTTGAGTTCCACATAACAGTGGGAGAAACAGGAATATATCTGTCATCAAAAACAAACAATAGATTTAACCTAATTCGGCTTGAAAATTAGTCCCAATCTGGATTTATTGCCTCTGGGAGTTTTTGTACTTTTAAGTATTGCACACCAGAGTGTACTAGAGTTCGGTAATTCTGTGGCAAGGTCCTAGGGCAGCCCTTTCACAGAAGCAATGACGTCAATTATTACAAGAGTGTCAAGTCGGCACTTGATTGTTTGTTTAGCACTGTTAGCCAGCAAGACGTATTTTTATTGTTAATTATGTGAGTGGCCGGTGTCCTCGCTGAGTTTTAGTGATTCGTTCATATAATTCTTACCTTAACGTCACTTCTTCCTTACCGAGAAGATCCCATTTCCGCTGTTAATCGTTTATGTTTGATAATTATATGAATCAAAATCCAGAATCACGACATACTTTTGAAACAGAATATTGCAGATATTTCTTGTGATTATGGAACGGGTTTTCCTGTGTATTGTACGAATTTTGAGAAATTTACAATATCACAATCCTCACCTCAGTGACATGGAATATGTTAAATATTATTCTGCTCTGTTGTCAAACAATGCTTACGAGTAAAAAAAACACCACTGACCATTCGCCGTAACATTAATGCATAAAGGCATTTATTGTTCCTTAAATAACCATTAGTAAAACCTATTACTGAAGGATGGCAGTCAGGCCCTGCTTCCCATGTTCCTCCATCGGTGGGAAACCTTGTTAAGAAATATATGACTATTCATACAGGCAAACGGTTTAGGCTGGGTCAACCTGTCACTGGGACAAACACGCCAGTTACTTCCCAAATTGGTGGAACTGATCCTGATATAAAGATTTGGTAAGTGCAGCAATCAATTCTGACACTGACAGCGCCTGACCAAAGTGTCTCGAGTGGCTGGTCCACACAGGGTTAGAATAAAGATTCTTACATCCTCGGAGCCCAAGACATTGCCATGGAACTTGCAATATGAAGTTGTCATTGGTCTGTAAGACTGTACTTGGCACACATAACGTCATGTCTCTCTCACCTGTCCATTTCTCTCCCATGGGTCAATAATGGCGTTTTTTTCCGTTAAGCCCATTTTGTTTTGTTTTACTTGTTTGTGGTTCAACACCGCACACAACCATATTCCAGCATCATGTCGCTAGTGTGTAAATATTCTAGCCTAGACTACACAACCCAGTGATCACCAGCATGAGCATCTAAGGCAATTGTGATACGATGACATGTACCAACCAATTCAGCGTTACCACCCGATCCCGTTGGTCACTTCTTACGACAAGCATGGTTTGCTGAAGACCCCTTCTTACCCGGATCATCACGGTATAGTTTTGCAAGCACTTGATGTGTTCTCATTCTCAAATTTGTCCAGTGTTTAAAGGCAACATATCCGTTTTGTTTTAATTTGTAGATATACCCCAATTATAAATACCTGTCATGTACAATCCACAACAGACCTTTCCATTTTTGTGTAAAGTTTAGAGTTTCAAATCAATCACCCTTGGTTGTGCATTTACTTTGATAAATACAGTGTAAGTGTTTAAGACTTCTAGGACAAGGAACAATTTATTTCTGTTTTTGGACAGCCTGGCTGTAAAATATATATTTCACGCCAAACTAACAAAATAAGTAAACTAAGTGCTTAAGACTTCTAGGACAAGGAACCATTTATTTCTGTTTTTGGACATCCTGACTGTAATATATATATATGTTTCACGCCAAACTAACAAAGTAGACATTGACAAACTCTTGGTGTGAGTTCTTTAGGAAATATGATCCGTCCTTCATTATCAATATGGCAATCTACAATCAACGTGTGAGGTACAATGATGTATTAAGCCGAAGACATGCAATCAGAAACGTATCTGATTCAACTTGGTTTCAAGAATCGGAAACCTTTATCATTAAAGGACACTGAAATTGTCAGCTGTCAATGTAAAAACTTTCAACATGAACATTTCTTGAGGAGACAGAAAAAGAGACACTATTTATCACCTCTTTTTTCTCACATCACCCTGTCAGTGGTGTATTTACACATCCAGTATTCTCTCTTGATTTAGGATTGCTCTCCTTCGCCCAATCCAAATCAATGCCACTTTTAAGCCTACATGATGATTTACAGTAGTAATCAGTGGTCTTGAAAATATATTTCAGATGAAGGAGGTATTGATATCGATCCAATTGAATTCTACATCTCAGCTGCCTCTCATCATTGTTTTGTTATGTGATGTAACGTTCTGTGTCCTCTCGTAAATAATTTTATGCAGGAAAGTTAAATAAATCATCAATCATTACATCTTAAGTGTGTAATTTGTACATAATCAAATGCAAGGCACTTTGAATGGTTTCTGTAATGGTCTTGATGATTTAATGTAAACCGGATACTGATAAGGAAACGTAAATCATGACAGTCTATATCTTTTCTAGGGATTTTGTGTCATTGCGTCAAAACTAGTTCTAAACATCAAGTTATTTCTGTAAATAAGCGAGCAAATGAGCTGCTCCTGAGATGCTAACTAATCCATCAACAAGTCTACACACGTTCCTTAAGGAAAGGAAATAAAGTTTACTTTCCAAGTTATCAATAAAAACTGATCTTTACGTCTCCAGACAAATGTGGGCGCTTTATATTAAAGGGTTGCATTTATTTCAAATATCGTTCTGTTAATGACAATACAATATAGATTTTGAAACGTGCCATTGGTAGAGTACAGATGACGTATTAGAAAAATACACGTATTACACGACCTAAAATGGACTTATGTAAAAACATCTTGTGAGCTCAATAAAGAAATTTCAGGACCCACGCTTGTCTCTTTAAATAATTAAATAACTGAACTAAATAACTTTAATAACATCACCTAAAGAAACCGCGAAGTGTGAAGAAGAAATGACGATGACACCTGACGATTTGATTTTGATTCCTTGCCGATGCAAAGATGGTTTTGACATTTCTGTCCCTGTTTTGCACCAAAGAAATCGATGTGTCAGCCTGAAAGAATGGAGGTTGGAATTGCATGGGTGATGAGTTGATGAGTTGAAGCACGTTTGTGTTGATCTTGTATAAGGTGTACAAATGTATACGAAACAAAAACCTTTGTGAGGTGTTGATTCTCCATACATGAAAAACTACATGTACAAACATCAGTAAGGTAGAAGAAAAAGGAGTTTTCTACTCTCCTCGAAAATGTTTATCATGGTGGATTGGTTCCATATAACTATAGTGACACGTGCATCTGTAAACTAAGTTTGTTTGTATTGTCCATAGCATCTAGTTTCTACTGTCAGTTTAGTTTATTCATTATTTGCTTTAATGATAATTGTATTCAATTCCTAAATTTTCAACCTTCGCTAAACACCTTAGCACAAAGTGTGAAAATGTTCACATCAAGTATCACAAACTCCAGTCCTAAATTTTGCAAGGCGAGTATTTCAATAGCTGTATTGTTATATATTCACCAGTGACTGAAGAAGGTACCAATCATCAAATACGGCATGGGGAATAATTGCAAGTATCCCCATTGTTTCTTGATGTCAGTCGGTCACTGGAGCAGCCATGGGCAAACCGTCTGATTGATCCTTAGTTGGGGGGATTAATCCTGCGTTAACGACGTTGTGCGTCTAGAAAGCTTGGTCTTAACCGGAGACGTCTGCCTCGTGGGTCCTTAGACGCTTCTTAATCGTTTCAGTGAGAAACGTGATATTCATTTATGTCCTCTAAATAGCTGCGAGTTCTTGACATTCTTTTCAAGGCAAAGTCGCGGACCCAACACCAGTCAAACTCAACGACCACCTAGAGTACGGCTAGTTGCTGACATCATTGTCCAAGGCGTTTCCTCATCTATCTCCATAGGTAGAAACCTGAAATCAACCTGAAATGTTTTGGGTATGTCTGTTTCAATTGAATGTGGGGAAGCTGTGTCTTCGAGTCCATATTACATCTGAAGTCATATACCCAAACAATCTGATGAAATATTGTAACCTACAATTGAACACCTATAGAGCGTATGGGGCTTTCAAATTATACATAACACATAGACGGTCTACCTTAGTTTGTATTTGTATACCCCAAAATGACCTTTCCAATCACAATCTACAAACACATTCAAATGTCCTATGTCAGATCATCGAAGCAGAACAATATCCTCCCAGACCAGTCTCCAGCCTCACGGCATGTACAAGCAATCCATCCAATCCCACCAGTCATAATGGGTCTTTTGTGGACGTAACAGTCAGAGTTATTTGACAAGTTTAGTCTGAACCATCAGCGATGGTTAGGACAAATTCATGAGACACCATTCATGAATGTCCATTTAAACATATAAATAGTTGCGTCAGTTTCGTCATATTGATGGAAACTAAAGGAGACTGCGATGTGTCCTATTACTTCATCATGGCAGCCACATGCCCCACCTCGTGCTCCCCTCCACTAGACACATTGACAGAGTACATGAGTATTCATACAACAAACCGTTTAGGCTGGGTCAGCCTATCATTGGAACAGTAACTTCCGAAACTGGTGAAATCAATCTTGATATAATGATATAGTGCTGCAATCAATACTAAAACTGAGTGTGTCTGCCCCTAGCCTATCGAATCCCTCCGATATGGTGGGAATATGGAATCCGATTCAATACATCCCATGTGCCCATAGTGAAGGTAATGACAACCAGACATAAGGGAGGAATAACGCTAAATCTATTGCCCTTGTTACTCGAAAGAGTGAGTTAAAATTTAACGTCACATCGGCAATATTGCAGCCATATCGTGACGAGAACAGTTGATATCAATATTCAAATCAATAAATGTATAACGTAAAAACCTGTCATCGAAGGACAGTGAAAATACTAGAATATCGCAGTTCTTGATTTAAAACTAGTACGCTATCATAAAAATATATCACGAGAGACCACAGTACAATATAAGAACGGGTATATAGATCACCAGCAACTGAAGGTTGATCAGCATACTAAGGACCATGGGGACTTACAGTACCTTTGCTACCTACATGGACCCTAGTTGGATTTACATCATCCCTTCAGCAGCCGGCGATTGTAGTCAATCTTAGCCATAATTAAAATCACAAAAATTCTACGCTTAAAATCCTGGTAAGTTACTTTGAGAGTTTTGGGACTTACATACCCTCTCGGGAGGACAATAATTTTACAATACTTTAACCCCCTTGTTGGAACAGCCACTAACAATCTGAGTTATTAATTTAACCTTCCAATCATAAAATATGTATCTATTTACAAATCAGTTAACAAATCTAATTCCTTTAAAAATGCAATAATTAAATGAGAACGTATATTATTAAAAAGATTCTTCAAAGTTCCTTGTTACTCGATGAACTTCAGATCGTTAAGGGACATAAGACGTCATTATAGGACTTCATAGTAATGTTCATCATTCGTTTATCTCACAGAATGTCCAACCTAACAGATTTATATGTAGATTCATACATCTCATTTGTCTATATGGGAGAGTAGTCCGCCCTACAATAGATTAGAATTCCTTTCACCGAAACAAAAACAATGCTCGTTTAAGCCTGAACATTGATTTAAAGCAGTAACCAGAAAAGTATATGTCAGAAACAGATTTATTAATGTCTTTCGACTTAAATTCAATATCCTATTTAGAGTTTAATGTTAGATTCTGTGCCATATTGTAAAACACTCATGATCACCACAGGGGAGTTAGATAAATCATGAAATTTCAGTTTAAAATTTGTACATAATCCAAAGTAAGGGGAGAAGAAAGTACCCATATTGGCTCCAGGGTTTAGGGAACACGGACAGGGGAAAACCTGGACAAGTGAAAATAACCTGCACAGAAAAATGCAACCAAGATAAATCATGAAAACACAAATAAATATATTTTACTGAATGTGCCTTTTTGCCAAGAATGTGTGAATATGTGGGACACTGATGACTCCAAATAATCCATGAAGAAGTGTACGATGGGAACAAGGCAGCTCCATTGTTCCCATGGTTTCTGCTGACATCAGATTTTACAGGATTGTGAATGTATTATATCATTATTTAAGAGCACTATCAAAGTGCAACGGCCTAATCCAGGTCACGGTTGCCAAGTATTGCAATATGGGAACACAAATCTGAAACATTTTTCATCTCATGATTGGAAAATATCCATAGCTTAGTTTGGGGTATTGTCTACACTGACAATAGGATTTCAAAACTCTTGCATAATTAATAAGTCATTTTTGTTGAGAAATAAATCTAAAGTTTAAGCTACACTGTTCCTCTGGTTTCTGTGGCAATGTTTACGGCGACAATAGCGACGACGGTTTCGCGCTGGACATT